GTAAACCTATCGTCTGAAAAAACTAACTAACATTCTTTATGTGGTAATGAATGTTGTATAGATATGAAGCATATATGAGTACCTATAAGGTATATATATAACATTTTATTTATTTATATATACATACATTACATGAGTCTAATGCAATGTTAAAGTGCACGGCAAATTTTCTTACTGCCCATGCTAAAACATGTCTGTACTACATCACGAGATACACCAAACCATACTTTATGTAAACAACAAAGAGATAGCTCCTAGACAATAAAAATTCATAAAAATACAAGTTAATGGTAACTATTCAACCAGCGGCAGAACAGTAGCCAACCACGCATGTGGTCCGGGGTTCGGTCCCTAGCTGACACACTCTTAAACCACGCTAAGGCGTTGGTGAAGAGGGAAGGTTGAGCGTGAGGCTAGCAACCTTACGTCGCAAAAAACAAAACCACTGCTACCGAAACTGCAAAAGGTCTAGCTTGAAGTCCAATGTTCCAGTGGGAACTTAAAGGAATAAAAAAGGAAGTTTTAACCAAGAGATTTATTTCCACGATTTTATTTACTACAGCTATACAGTAATGACTGACTGGTTTCATCAACATAGGACTTTGCACAGATGTGCAACAGTTCGAGTCGCCACTCTCCCTCCATGTAGCACACAAAGCAAGAAGTCAGAAAAACATGCAAAACAGAGACAGTAAACAGAGATGTGAGGTAAAAGGAATAGGAATATCGAAGAACAATATAGTTTTATTGGAAATTATAAGTCACAAGGGGTGGATGCATCTGAGCCAGCCATTGAGAACGATTTTGAGCCGTATCACCAATTATCTCCAGTCTTCATCCTGAAGACTCCAACCAGCCAGGAAGTCTACACCTTCCTACGTGACTGCCTTAAACTAACTGTTGTGAATCTCATTGACTGATGAGGTCATGTTTTGGTTTGACCACCACTAGCTCTTTTCCAACCTGATCCCTCCTATGTCAGCTAACATTGCCTGTTGTCGAGGAAGGGGATGGCTAGGCATGCGTAACACGTGTCCTAACCATCTCACTCAATCAATGTAACTTTACAGTCTCATCGACTGATTTCCCCTCCTTACCTAGCACTCAGTGGAAGTCTAACCTCAATATTGCTATACAGTTATACAAAACCCTATATAATTGAGATTGTACATCTGTAGTGAATGAAAATGAGGATAAGCTTTTTCGCAGAACCACGTGTTCTGGGTTTCCTCAATGTCCTAATGAGGATTTACTTTGTACTGAAAACTATATAATGCATAAGGGAAACAATACACCTTGATAATATATGAAAATACTCACTATCTACTATTCTTACTGGCTTTAGTCCACTTTGGGATAATAGAGTATATAGTATGAAATTTCAATGAAGTAAACAATCAGTAAATTTGATAAAATGTCTTACTTTAGAGATAAAACGTAACGCATCTAAAAAATCTGAAGATAACTCAATACATAACTATCAATAGAAATTAGGTGAACGCCATATGAATGCTGACCATCAAAAGTAAACAAAATCCTACAGGACTTATTAGAAGACAAAGCTTTAAATTTATTTTAATGTAGTCATTTTTTCTAATTCATTCATTTCCAAATACAACAAAGGGCTTCAAGCCTTGAAATTTCAGCAGTGATAGAATTGTTTTTACAGAGTTAGATGGCTAGCTTCATGCCCAACCTTCCCTCTTTTGTTCTTTTGGGTTCCCAGCGGAAAACAGGGATCCAACAGCACATTTCCACTTTTAATTGGGCACTAGTAACTAGTGTGACGTGTCTAGTCCTTTCTTTGGTGCAGACTGAATTCTATCAGTAAGGTTTGCAATGTGGCCACCATATTAGTTGGTTAGCCATCATGGTGCACATTGATTTGATGATATTAGATAGCTAGAGGCAATCGGCAGGAAGCCTTGGACCTAGGTTTCGTGCTAGTTGGCACTCGTCAAAATACCCACTACGGTCCTACAGGAGGTCAATCGCGAGCCCGAATAGCTCAGTCATAACGTCTCTGACTACAGCACTAGGTGACGCAGGTTCGAATCTCAGAAGGGAAATTAGTTCCTTCAAGGCTGTAGATACGCCTTGCTGAAGAGTGCCAACTAGCACGAAACCTAGGTCCAAGGCTTCCTACCGATCACCTCCAACCATCTAATACCGACGAATGGAAAGAGGCAAGTTGGTCGTCAGTGGGAGGGTGACATGGAGAAGGTGATATGAAGAGGAGATGAAAGCATGTGGGCAGACGTGGAGCGGGGTGAAAAGTTGGCGGAGAACCGAACGCAATGGAGACGTGCAGCTGAAGCCCTATGTTCTTCTAGGAGATAAAGGAAACAATAATAATGACAATCTAATACCAATTGATAAAGTGTGGTGTAACTACAATTTGGAATATTTTGTAAAGCTGCATACAGGAACTAATGTCTCAAAACAAGAAGTTACATTATGGTGTCTTTTAATGGATGACCAAAGCCACAGTTGCTTATAGAAATATCTTTAAAAAATGAAACCAGAATCTTCGTTTGAATATCAATGCGTAATCAATACAGCATAATGACCGCGATTCTGTGTTCCAATGCTGGTAAGCTATTAACTGTCTTTGTCTTTTCACATCCTTATATAACGTATTTCGAAAACTTTTTCCTCATGCAAGCACGACATTCCAAAGTAACAGCTTCAGAACAGTACGGATCCATGAAATATGACTTATTGTGAATACAAGATACTGATTCACTTCAAATATTTGCAAAATAACGCAGTTAATGTCCATATACAAATACTTGTTTAATGTAATTAAGTGGGATTTTTTAAAATTTTATTTTATTCAGTTAAAAGTTTTATTGGAATCAATTTCGCCACCAAAACGAAGTTACTTTATACTAAAAGGGTTATGGCACAGTTTCTAGAAGAAAAACCGAAGTTAGCAAGTAAAACCTCTACTAACAACGTTGAGTCAGCAGTTATATAAGATAAAATAAATTTAAATATTGTCATCAGTCTATCATGTGTAACCAAAATAACCATACTCCATTTCACATAACAGTTTTTCAAATGCAGCTTTTTCACCAAGAGATATTAGAACTGCAGATACCTGTAGATTCCAGGTTAATATCAAAAGACTGGTTAGCAGTGAGATTTCAGTTAACAGGAGAATGCCAAAAAGGTTTGCCTTTTAAATTAAAATCAATATTTTGGTTGTTGTTATCTGTGTAGTTAAGGTACAAAATAGTGACAATACTTTACACAGCATCATATCAAAAATGCTAAGATATTTTAAGCTGTATAAAATGAGTAGTTGCTGAGTTAATACCCTTGAAAAACATTCCATATGACTACTATCTTTTCAGAGCATGATAGCTTATTACACTTTTTTTCATTTGCGATTTGCCTTTTTATTAGTTAATTTATTTGTACTTTTTATTTTTTTACACATATAGAACAGTAATATATCATACACAAACATTTGTTATACTATTAAACTTTTAATGTTGCCACCCATTTAAATGAAACATTCATAATTTTAATTTTAATTTGAGGCATATGCCACATACACATACGAGAAACCAAGCTGGTTGTCAGTTATTAAGTTCTACAATTAGCTTCGTGATACACCTCCATATATAATGATTTCTTAGTACTTTTGTTGCATCGAGTAACTGAAAGAAATCACAAGATTTGGGGTTAACACAAATATGTTTATGACCTTCTTTTCTACCCATCAAGTTTTCAGATCTTTTAACACAACGAAGAGAACGAAAAACAAAGACAGTATAGATGCCGGTTATCTCACTCAATAATTTGGTAGTTCCCATTGTGACATTATGAAAACAGCATTCAGCGAAGTGACTGTTCTCAACAAATTTATCATCAAACTGCATAATATATGCTTCCTGCTGAACTATATCTCGTGATGAAATTTAAATACAAGGTATGACTAATTCTCACAACAATGTGGTATATATATACACATATATGATTGCAGGATGTGATAAAAAAATCCATTGAGAACAGTTTCTTCGCTGAATTTTGCAAATTAACTAAATTAAAGGGTCCTGAGCCTACAGTTGGCAGCTAAGAGTTTCCCTTTGTGGTTATAGATTTGAGACAATATCACACAAGTTTTGAAGAAATTACATGCTTTATTTTATCCGTGGAAAAAAATGGGTATACTGTGTAATTGTTTAGAAAAACGTTACATCTCCATCATGATTCTTGCCCAGAAGATATTAGCAGTTTTCCATTGCTTCATAAAAGACGAACTTTATTTTATAGTACAATTGCTGAAAAAGGCCGCTTGTTTTAAATAAATGGCTTCGTGGTTAAGTTTAACAACCAAAATTGACGGCCACTAGCTATAAAACCTTCCAAAATTATTGCCTAAATAAGTGTCTGTAAAGTTTTAGGTGTCAAAAGCAGTTCAGCAAATTATCAATTTGAACCCTGATACTGAGAAAATAAAATATCACAAAAGGCAGTTGTGAATTATTCAGTATAAAAACACTGTCAATATATGAGATAACATTATTGCGTTTAATTTCATGTTTTCAATTTATGTTTCCAAATTAAGAAGGTAAAGAAGTCCTGCGGAAGCTGTGTGCTGGATTTCATTGTAAAGTTGTATGCAAAGAATCTGAGTGTTTATCCAAAAGGTAGTATTTCAGACACAAGCCAGCAAGTTGGAAAAACTTAGATATAGTCTATTAACTAGTCGGCTGATGCTTTTATAGTTCCTTAAATTATTATTGATAAGAGTTTACATGAACGTTGCAAAGTCAGTGTCCCTCTGACTTTATACAATGCCAAAATAAATACTACTATTAAATAAGGCAGTGACCAATTAGTGAGTGGCATATTGAATAAAATAAACTGACTGACACAGAATATATGACCAAACATAACAAAATAATAATTAATCATCTTAAACCAGTATAAATCTGAAAACACCAATTACTTGTAAAAAAATGTTTTGTAAACTTCAAGGAACATACCTTTCGAGCCCTTGTCGGAAATACAAGAGGAGACGTGTTTGTCATAGAGATACCCTGCAAAATTAAGAAATGTAAGAAGGTGTCATTACTATGAGTCCCTGTTCTAGCGCCATCAAGCTGTACCAGCCAGCAATACCATAGTGATTTGACCCTTAAAAGAAATTGGTTAAACTGAGAAGGATTGTACCGAAAGCGGCAACAAAGGAGACCCCTGTCTTCTTAGCCTTCTGAATAGCTGTATTCATTGCAAAGTTGCCTACAACTGGCCCAAGGACATTTTTCCCATCTACAAGTGCAGTTGATGCAGATTCTTTCACAATTTTAGGCTCTGCCTTAGTTTCGCAAACACCTTTCTGAATATCTCGTACATACATTTCTGTTGAGCCGTAGAAAATTTAACTCTTGAACATACCCAGTCGGTTCAATCCATGACTATAATGACCTCGATAATCTCCAGAAACCAAAACATCGCTGAGGGAAACTGAGTGGCTCTTTTGAGCCCCGACTTTTGTCAAGCATCGAACGCAGAAATCTTTGACTTCTTGAGCAAGTATAACTTTTGAGTAACCAGGGGGAGTATAATGACTTAGCTTCCGTATAAAATTGTAGTAACTAGGGCGAAAACGATATCTCGCAACCATTTTTGAAACACGCTCGCTTAAATTTCAGTATTAAATAACATATTATTGTTTGCGCTACGAAGACCACAAGTTCAATGCTCAAGTAATCAGAAGCTGCACACCAAGACCTTCATAATATTCCTTCTATAGAATTTCTATTTGGAAATATAATTGTTTACAGAAAACCTTTTGCTAGCATTCACTCATTGTCATGGATTGTCTAATGTCATGAGAGAAATTTGCGACTCAAATACCGAAGCCTAAAGACAAGGACAGCCTGTGTACGGCCGTAGGTCATTTGATCAGCTGATGTCTACTGGACTTTTTTATTGAAAAAAACCCCTCAAAATTAGGTAATTTTTTGTTATTTTACACACTTTTACTCTTGTATTCCTGCTGAAAGTTGATGGAATAGGGTGTTTTAAGCATAAATGGCAAATGATGGTGCCCTTATCCGGCTGTAATTTACGGCCAGTTTACAAATTGTTGAAATATGTTTTTTTCTTTCAGAAAATGTCGAATCACTTGAGACATGTTATAACGACGTTCAGTGAATTTTTTGCAGTTTAAAGGATTATACGTGGACATGATGAGGTGGGATAGTTCGTCTTGTTAATTATTGATAAAAAGACTATCTCGTGCTGTAATGAAGTTACTGTGTCCACTTGTAAAAGAAAACATTGAGATTATAAGCGCTCAGGGTTATATATCGTCTTAGTAGGAACCTATTAATTGACTCCGGATTCATAGTCACAAGGTGAAAAGTAAATCTACCTGAGAGAGTGTGCTTGCGATTTCTGCTTATCGTAATAAACCAAGATGGGAATAATGTACGTGTACTGTTAGATTTATAACTCAGTGCAACTACGGTTATCGTAATAATTAAAAACAGAATGCCTACGGTTCGCAGCCACAGAACACGGTACGCGGCGTTTACTCCTAATAGTTAACCCTCAATTCCTACCTTAGTACATGTTACTAATTTTACGGGGACACAATCGCATTCGGATTCAGATTCAGATTATAAGGATAGAAGGCTCTTGTTGCCTGTGTTAATCCTCGCGATATATATCCCTGCAGAGATCCAGTTTCTCTTTGAAAGCGTTCACCGATGGAGCTGTTACTACTGAATCAGGTAAGGAGTTCCAGCCGTTGACCACTCTGTGAGAGAATCTAAACTCCAAACGCGTTTTATTCGAACTTGGTTTGAGCACCTTCTTCTGGTGACCCCGTAAATGTATCCTAGAGGGAGAGAAAAGGTTTGAAAGGTCAATCCCTAAATCACCCTTGAATATACGGCAAGCCAAAATTAAGTCGCCTCTCCTCCTTCGGTATGATAATGGGAAGAGATTTAAATGCTCCATCCTCTTATCATAAGAAGGTGTGAGATACCACTGACTATTTTCGTTCCTACCCTCTGTACTCTTTCCAGGGTATGTGCCTCCTTTTCGAAGCATGGACTCGCCGCTTGTATGCAGTATTCTAGATGAGGCCTGTCATATGTTGCATAGAGTACTTGGAACATACCCTCGTCTAATCGTTTGAAAAATCTTCGAAGTGCCCATAACATTCGAAAAGCCTTAGCTGCGGCTCGACTACAGTTTACCGTTGTTTTTAAGTCATGGCTAACGATAATTCCTAAGTCCTTTTCTTCCTTAACATCTGGCAGTTCTGTGTCCCCCATGGAATACGACGTGTAAGACTTCTGACCTAGGTGCATTACCGCACTTTTCTTGGAGTTAATTTCCTGACTCCAAAGGTTAGCCCATTCGGTCAATTTGTCTAGATCGTTTTGTAGTACCAAGCTATCATCGCGACTATTTACGGTTTTCCATATCTTAATATCATCCGCAAATAGTAAGGAAGATGAGGTAAGAATTTTTGGCACTTCATTTACGTATAATAAGAATAGCGGGGGACCAAGTACCGTTCCCTGAGGTACTCCACTTAGCACTGCTTTCCACCCTGACAGTACACCATTAACCCTTACCTTCTGCCTCCTATCCATCAGGTAGTCACTAAACCACTCGCATAAGCGTTGGTCTAATTCAAAGTGTTTCAGTTTACTAAGAAGACCTAAATGGGATACCTTATCGAATGCTTTACTAAGATCAATAAATGCAACGTCCAGTAGATGGTTTTTATCCCTGGCTTCGACCCAATCTTCCCTAGCTGACAGTAAGCCTGTCAAGCAGGATCGTCCTGGTCGGAATCCATGCTGTTCCACTGCCAGTAAGCTATGTTTTTCCGTATAAGCCAAGAGCTGGTCTCTTATGAGTTTTTCTAACACCTTTGCTATAATACAGGTCAGACTTACAGGGAGGTAGTTAGATACTAACTGCCTGTTCCCATCTTTGAAGATGGGGCTTATAAAAGCATATTTCCAGTCTCTGGGCAACCTAGCCTGGGTCAGAGACATCTGAAAAATCTCCGTAAGTGGAATGTATATTATATCCGCCAGGGAGCTTAGCAATCTAGGGCGAAGTCCTTCTGGTCCAGGTGATTTACCTGGCTTCAACTTAGACAGCAGTTTCAGAACCATTGCATCATCTACCACAATTGGGGGCATTTTAGGGGCTACACCAGTTACCTCGCTACACCCTTGGGTGGTACGATTAGACGAAAAAACATCACAGAAATATTCGGAGAGCTCCTCAGCTTTTGTTTCGTCTGATTCTGCGGTCTCTCCTGTGTTGCTAATGAGGGATGGTATGCCACTACTAGTTTTAGTCCTGCTTTTGATATACGAGTACAGTCTTTTGGATAATGCAGACAATCCAGTACTGTCTCTCATACTCTATACGACTTTTGTCAATCTCATACTTGCAAAGGTTTCGAACTTTGCGGTATTCTACCCGAAGCTCATCCCTCCCAGTCACAGCTAACCGGTCTTATAAGTTCTTTCTTTTTCTTAGTAACCTCCTTATTTCATTACTAATCCAAGGTGGTTTATGAGATAATTTTCGAGGCGTAGACCAAGGTACAAAGGGTGCAGTGACGCACTCTAGTGTATCCCTAAATCCCATCCAAGCCTCCTCGAAAGTCTGGTGTGTATTAACAGACCAGTCAGCTGGGGCTGCTGCATTTCGGATTGCAGGTATATTCGCTTTCCAAACGTTTGGGCCAGCGGCTGTTGACCTATGTATGACGGCCTGGATCCTGAACATAAAAGTAATAACTATGTGGTCACTACTGCCTAGCGGCGCCAGGCACCTAATGTCACCAACATCCTCCTTCTGGTGTGTTAGCACCAAGTCTAGAGTGGACGGATCATGTTCAGGATGGTATCGTGTTGGTGCATCCATATGCTGCACAAGTGCGCATTCAGTAATAGTTCCCTATTGAAACAATTGTACGAAGTAGCTGATGTTAATTCCTCCCAATTAATATGTGGGGTATTAAAATCACCTACTACTAGGCATCTATTCTCTCTACTCCACGTCCTGAGGTGATTTATAACGAAATTGTCGGCTTGGCTGGTAGGACTTCTATAAATAACCCCTATCGTTACAGTGCCTTTGTTCAAGTTAATGACACAACCTGCGGCTTCACAGGCGCCACTGTCATGAGCTTCCGACAACGTCGACCTAATTCCTATGTCATCTCGAATGTATAGAGCGACCCCCCACCTTTCCGACTACTTACTCTGTCTGCTCTAATGGAGATGTACCCAGGTATGAGTGGAGTTAAGTCTATACCCATTAACAACCATGTTTTGGTGATAGCAATCACACCCGGCTGTAGTTCCTCAGTCAACACTCCTAGTTCGGGAAGCTTATTCCTAAGACTACAAGCGTTCGTGTAGCATACTGAGAGACCTATGTGTTCACTCGACTTATGAACAGAGGTCTGAGTAACATAGGTTTCCGAGACCCCACTACCCGAAAACCCAACAGTTTGAGGTCATTTTCACCTTTTTCTAATCGGGCCTTTAGTTCAGCCACAGCTTCTCTTCTCCTAATTCTATCTTCTAAAGGCCAGTCTGGCCTAATCTTCACTTTTTTATTCTTGATCTTGAATGCGTTGTTGAGAATAATAGTTTTCTCCATCTCGTTCCCCAGTACTACCTTCGGCAGTCGTGGGGAACTTTCCGTTGCATCGGCGATTCGTTTACCGATTCTCATGACTTTCCTTATGTGAACACCATTTGTTTTTTCCGGAAGTATTTCACGGATGATGGAGCTAACTATTTCGAGATCGTCAGCACGTCAAGCAGCTGGATCTACCTTCTTCGATTCCTCCAAATTCCAAATTACTATACTGTAATTTGAGTCCGAAGGTTTAATCTTGTCAGTGTTTACGGCCGTTGAGACCTTATCACTAACCACAGTACTTTTCTCTTTCCTGTGATTCTTGAGCTTCCTACTCTTCGGCACTAGCCAGGTGGAATCGGATGGTTCCACTTTACTCTCGCCGCAGTTGGAAGCTGTGCGTTCACCAGACACGCAACGCTTCATAGCTGTAATATCACCCTGCTGTCTTACAATGTTGGCACTATTTGCCCTCCTAGGTTCTCTGGGCTTTCTGCGTGCCATTACAGACTGCTGGGCACACTTCACCTCTGTTGCTTCTTTCGAAGCTAGGGGGTGTGGTTCTGCCTCAGTTTTATGACTAAGGCCAGAATCCTCGTTTATAACATCTGTACTAGATGCTGCATTTTTCCCCTCATGAGAGGTTTTTGGTAACTTCTTGGACATGAGAAGTCCTACGGCCTCCTGGATGAGGACATCCAACGGGTTTGCACAAAATTTGCACATCCATGGAGATAACGGCTTGCTGCTTCTCCTGTAGGCTGATGGTGATAAGCCAGTGCAAACTTTATGGAACCACTGCATCCCATCCTCCACCGGAAAGTGGCAGTCCAGTCGTTCAAAACTATATGTGGGACTCATGTCAGTATAAGCTGTCTAAGTTACACACAAATATGTGTATATATACCTAAATACAGAGATATAAAAACACAAAAATTCGCAAAAGCGCACAAAAGTAGACACTACTTCAACTAATTAAGCCAGTTAAAGTCAACCAAAAAGCTTCTGATGCGATTAACACTACAAAAGCAGAAGTTACTTCACAACGT